CCTTGGAGGTGTTATAAAAACTGCATCCATACCGGTCGTGATATGCAGCCCACCTCCAGGGCTGTAGCGTCCTTGAACTCACACCACACACACACACACACACACACCACACCACGGACTCGAACAATCCACACACACTCCGCTTGGACAACACGCAGCTCACCACCGCTACTTTATCCCGCTCACACACAAGGGCCAACTGCCCGGGTGTTCACGGGCGCCTTCACAGTGATTACTGAACAACGTGTGTTTGGGGCATCATGCCCCGCCGTACACGGACGGCCTCGAACTGGCACCCTCCTGTACAGAAGCGAAGTATCGGCCATCGTCTCGCATCGGTGATCACCAATATCCTTTGCAGATCACCAACTAAACCACCAGTACTTCCTAAAGTTGTGCCCGTCAACAAGCCACAATTTTAGGAAACGTACGGGCCACTACAGGAGCGCCCAAATTCATCCGACAAAAAACGTTTCCAACTTTCCACTCTATTTTTTCCCGTGGCCAATAGCTGAGCCAAGTACTGGTGGTTTAAATCCCCCTTTCTCCTCTCTAGTCCCAGTATGCCTTCCACTTCACTTGGCGTTTTACTCCGTTTCTCCATCACCGAACATTTTCCCTTCCAAGGCAGGAATTGTATACCCCGGCGCGAGGTCGCACTAGCAAAGAGAATTGGACTAAGCGGGTGAATCTGGACGTGTTTTAAGCAGAGATGCAGAGAGGCAGATTAATCGCGATTATCTGCACCTGTCCAATGCCACGTCCAGATTCACGCATTGAATCCAATCCTCTTTGCCAGTGGGACCTGGCCCCCAAAGTCAAGAAGAGAAAAAGAAAGGGAGAGAACCTCTACATCCCAACCTAGGGATCAAATCCCACCATAACCCAACTACCGTCTTCATCCAAAAAGAACGCCTGGTCATTATTTGGGGCAACTTTCAGACCCGATTCAGCGATAATGACTGGGCGTTTTATTCGCGTGAAGACGGTAGCGCTCCCTGCTTCTATTCTCCTTTTAACTCAATCCCATCTGCCAGCAGAGTAGCCTTTCCCTCTTGCTTTTCTGTACTTGCTTTCTCCCGGCACGGATGGCCTTTTGAAGGGTGCAAGGGTGAGGTCCCACTTACCCAGACTCTTCATTTCTGACCGTGGATTAGGAACATCAATGGCCAGAAATGAAGAATCTGCGTCAAACCACCAGTACGTTTCCCGCTATGGAAAAAAAAATGCGGCTTGCATGCAGCCGCAACTTTCGGAGCTTGGCCTCCGGAGCAAAATGGCTGGCAGCGCCAGCCAGAAGGAGGCCTGTGCCGGTTTGTTTTCTTTTTCAGGCCCAGGGCGTTTCCATCCCCGGAGAAAAGTGCCTTGAAAGTACTGGTGGTTAAAGTAGTGGGATGTCACCCCCAGGATGTTGTGAATAATGGACCGAGAGCGACTGGGGGCATACCCACACTGCCGTAGCACTTTTGTAAATGTATCTGACTACAATTACAACCAGACCTGGATGAACCTGACTGCAATCACATTCAGAGCTTGGTTAAAAAAAAAAAACAGTCCCACTGTGAGTACGCCCTCAGGGATCAAACCTTGCAGAGAAGTGTACCTTCTCCTTGGCCTCGAACTCCTTCAATAGCTTTAGCTGCTCATCTGTCATTTTCCGACGATCACCATTCATCCATTCCGGCCGTTCCAGTTTCGAATCAAGCGCATCTTCGTCCTGGCGCATTGTGAGCATACCATCCATCATGTCCTTCAGGGCACGTTCGGCCATATTGCCAGCCTGTTTACTCCTGCAAAGTGAGTAATTTTCTTGTCAGGCCATAACTGAAAAGCAGGACTATCAAAAAAAAAAAAAAAAGAGGACTGTCATGGCACAAGTTGATCATGAATAAGGTCTGGTGCATCCCTAATAGTCCTGCTGTGTGCATTCGGGCCTCGCCACACCACTCGCCAAATGCCTAGATTTTGATCGTATCCGGACTAACTGCACGCTCAGATTCGTTCAGAATGTTGGCGTTTGGCGAGTGGTGCGGTGGGGCCCTACACCATCATTCTGACAGTCACCTTCTGCACTCAATTGCCTTCGCATACACTGTTTGCTAGCAGCAAGGGAGGAAGGAGTGCGGAATGGTTCGTGCTAAAAAATAGCAGCAAAAAGACCAGCTAGGTCCCTCATCGGATCACCCCCCAAAACCGCCCGATTTGTCACAGAAACCTAAAGTTGCCAGGCGGTGAATCACTTTCTGCATATCAACGAGTAAAGTGACGTGCATTCCTAGAAAGAATCGAATATGATCCAAATCGTTCCTCCGTAAAATTTCTGTTCTGCCGAAGGAAGGCTGAAAGAATAGAGTAATTCAGGATTCCGAGTATTCTCTGATTGGCAATGAGTTTTTTTTTTCCAATTTTCAGAAATCAAATTCGTGTTCAAACTTCGAAGTTAACAATATTTATCATTCCATCACACCATTTTGATGCTGGAGGTGGGAGGAAAGAGGAAAATGAAAGTGTGTGTAATTTTGTGGACAAAGAACAAAGATGGGTGGGAAGTTCGGTCAAATGTTTTCGTCTGTCTGTTTCATGAGAAAGTAAGGACAGAAGATGAACATAACATCCCATGCTCTCCAACCAAGAGTACAAACTCCCATACTCCTTTTCATATTTTTTATAAACAGAGCCTTGGTGCCCTGGCTCCTTACCCACTCTAGGGAGCAGCAGTCCGGTTCGTATTCCACCGGCAAGTTGGTGATACATCATGAACCCACACACACGCTTCTTCCCTTTTTGGTAGGAAGACCCGTGTGGACGGCATTGATTGCTTCCAATGATGGAGGATATACGGTGCCCTGGCTCCTTACCCGCTCTAGGGAGCGGCAGTCCGGTTCGTATTCCACCGGCAAGTTGGTGATACATCATGAACCCACACAAACGTATTCCAATGATGGAGGATATACCACCCCTCGCCCCTGCCTAAGTTAGCTTTCCACCACTAAGCTATCAGCTTGAGACTGGTAAACCCTAAACCCTAAACCCTAGGAGGTCTGCTGACTGATAAACCCTAAGCCCTGGAAGGTCTGCTGTCCGTAGATGCTGGTCCATCACTGCACAGTGGTGGTTCCCCGGAAAGCTTCACGGTATTAGGTGCCCAGACTGTCAGCTGGGCAGTAAGTACAGCCAAACGGCCAAGCCGGGCAGTCCCCTGGTAGTCGCGGATCAGCAAAGGTTCTAGTAGTTTGTTATGTCATCCTTTTTCATCCGAGTCTTATGAGCCTGACGAGTTACCAATTACTCTATCCCGCGCTCGTAGTATTAGTATGGCTCTTCTTTGCACAAGAAATTGATAGGTCCGGGCTTGAACCATGTCTCCCAAAATAAATCAGTACATATGGCGTAAGACGATTTCACGGATCGAGGTCGGAATGGGATCGGGTGTTTTCACGTCCTACAATAGTACCCGGATACTCGGAATTGTGCTTCGCGCCTTTGGTAACTAGTCTGATTAGATCGACATTAAATCAAATCTGGGTATGTATATTGGAAAGGAGTCAATCCAGCTGCAGGTTCCCCTACGGCTACCTTGTTACGACTTCAACACTATCCAGACCGCCTGAGCAGTCGTCCCACTGTGTTCTGACCGGGCCTCCCCGACCGAGGCCGTGGGCTGTACTGCTCGTGCTCCTGCTTGAGGCACACAATTAAGCAGGTTGCCTTCTACGGATCCCAGCTTCCCATTCCCTGGGGAGCCTTGCACAAATTTATCGATTGTCGCTTGACGTGTCTCATGCTCTCGTTTGATATGCAGCCGCACCCTGCTCCAGTCTGCCTGATATTCAGTGTCCAGCGCTCGTTTAAGCTCGTCCCAGGCCTGCTCCAGAGACGCCTCCTGTTTATCGATGGTCTCCTTGCACCTTGTTTTCCACACAACCCAAAGCACATGTTGTCACAGCCTTGTGTAGAATTTCAGGCCCCGTTTCTCTCGTGTCGGTGGTCGGACAAAGCCTGTTAGCAAGACCAGTTGGTACTTCGGTCGTGTCTGGCCTGAAATTTCCCTCCATAGGTCTTTAGCGCGACCCCACACCTGTTGAGCCGGGCATAGCAGCATGCAGTGCACAACATCCTCCACCGTTCCCCGGTCGCAGATTGCGCAGCACTCATCGAAGTCTTGTCTTGTTAGCCTGCGTTCTTCTCTTAGCCAGCTGTTGATTTACAGGGATTGCGAGGTACGTCAAAAGCCATTGCATGCTCCGGACCCTTGTATTGCGGATTGTGAGCATAGAGGCTGAGGGTATCTTAACCAAGCCATTTGTCCTACCAGGCATGAGCCCATCCCAGCGTTAGAGCAGGGTGATCTGAGTATTTGCGGAGCGCCTACGCAGCCTGTATCCCAGCCAAGTGGAATAGTCTAGTATACTTACGTGCCGGTCGCTTGGCCTGCCGCCATCGGAAGTTTCCACGCCCATTCTGCTGGGTCGAATTCCAGGGTCTGCAACAGTGCGGCCGGTTCGGATATCCTATACTCTTCATCGTCCGCCAACCAAACTTTCCGAGACAGCTGAGTCTGACCGCTGCCTGCGTGAGAGCGATTTTGATTACCCTGCTGACTGTTTGCCCCCCACCTCCTCTATATCGTGCAAGCCCGTTAGACCCCATTGTCCACTGGGGCACATCTGTCTGATGAAGAACGAGGCCATCGTGGGGGGATCCTCCCACTCCGTAGTCCGTGCCGCGGGAATGGACAGCAGGAGGTCATTCAAATTCTGCTGCAGGCTGTGACAGCCTTTAAGCTAGTTCCGCAGCTCCAAATGTGTTTTCCGACGCCTGTCGCCCTCATGCCAGATATGTTTAATCTGCCACACCCCTCCCTCGACCCATGTCGTCCAGTGGCCGTCCCATGTCGTCAGTGCCCAAGTTTTTTATCTGTCCAAAAGCCATTGATGGCAGAATAGGGGTTGCCTAAGTACTTTCTCCCTGTGGAGGGCTGCTTGACCTTTGCCGGAAAGATCTCCCTCCATGTTCTCAAGTAAGAATGTCAACAGTTGGGTCCAGTAATCTGCGGTTTGCAATATTGCGGCCCGCCCAGGCCTTAGCCATGATCCAAAGCAGGCCCGGCATGTTGTGGGGGGCGTACGGGTTGCTGACAGCTGTCTGATTCTGTGCAGCCCGAGTGAACCCATTTGGACTGAAGCGCTTTGGTCCGAATGGTGGGGTCCAAGATCCTGAGCCCCCCGGCCCCCTTGCGTTGGATCACGAGTTTCCATGCAACCTTGGTAATAAAGTTCTGTTTCGCCGGGTTGCCTGTCCACAGTAAGCTGATGCTTTCTTCCTAGGACGTTCCCCATGCGGCCTTCGGGTGTCCATACCGTGGCTGCATACCACATCATAGAAAAGACGGAACTGATTCACTTTGCAAGAGTCTGCGTAGTTTGACTGAACGCAGAAACCCTTGAATTTTCGGCGATCATGTGTTTTTCACCTGATTTTTTGTTACTCATGTCAGCATTCTAACTTCTGATATCTCCAGCTTGTTTTCACAAACAGCCTTCTTCACCTTACAGAATGTTCTACTACTGATCCACAGCCAGATTCAAGAGTATTTTGTATGGAAGGCTAGTGCACTGCAAGAGATATCACCTTCAGTGCCTTCTGAAAAAAGTGGAAAGTGGTTATAAACTTAGAGAGTTATAGTCAAAACACAACTAACAGAAATTCATAAAATAACACGTGACAAAAATATATTAGCTATTCGACGTCAATGGTTGAATCCATAGTTGCGGCGTACGACGGTGCGCCGGTTTGCCCATGAGTTGCGCACGTAGCGCCACGCACCGCACAGCGCACAGCAGCGTCCCGAACAGCAAAAAATAGGGGTATGGGAAAAAAAAATAAATTGGTTTTCGTTCGGAAGGCGGGCCCCCACCCCGGCAAAAATGACAGCCGGGGCGCGCGAGTCAGGAAACCGGCCGCGCCCCGCCTCCGAAATTTTTTTTGGGGGAAGGGCCTGCTGAATTCAAAATTTCGAATTCGGCAGGCCCTTCCCCCCAAAAAAAATTCGGAGAAGGGGGACGGCAGTTGACCCGGAGTCGCGCGCCCCCTCGCCATTCGAATCTTTACGTTGCGAAGGAGGGAGGGAGACACGGTACGAGGGACGACCAAGAAGTGGGCAACGAAGGCAGGGAGCAGCGAGGGGAGGGCGACGAAGGTGGGAGAAGCGGGAGACCGATGAAGGAGGGAGGGAGGGACATGGCGGGACATCATCGGTGTATGGCAGCCGCTGGACACCATCGGCTCGAAGCAGCGGCGGGAAGTGGCAGCGGGCAGCGTGATACGGGCGGGCAGCCATGAAGGTGGGCGCCCACCACCTCTCTCTCTCTCTCTCTCTCTCTCTCTCACACACACACACACACACACACACACACACACACACACACACACACACGCACACACACACACACACTGTGGCATTCTGAGCCACACGGGCCCCAGACAGGGCCCCGTTCCCAGTAGGCAGGGTAGGCCTAGGGGGACGACGGTTCAGACCAGGCCCAGATAGGCCAGAGGCAGGGCACGTTTAGGCCCAAACGGCCAGAGGCCGGTACCGCTTCAGATTAGAACCTACCGGCGGCGTTTCAGAGGCTGCCCAGAGTTTAGGCGCCAAGTCCAGTTTGAATCTGGACCGTTGATCTGATCAACGGTCCAGGCCGGTAGGTACCAGTAGGCAAGAGGCCGACCCAGCACTACAAAGGCAAGGTACCAGCCTCAGTAGCGGAGAGTTAGTATGGACGGGGTTAGTCTTCAGGATTAGCGCGGCAGCCCAGCGTTAGCTCGATTAGCGCAGCGCTGCAGCAGCGAGGAGCAGCGAGGGAGCAAGGTTCAGCGGAGAGCGGATTAGCGCAGCACTGGGCGCCTCGCCAGTTACCGGCCCAGCCCCCTTTTGCAGCGCCATAGCCAGGTACCAGGGAGGAAGGCTTCGCCTTCTCTCCCTCCTCTCCTCTACCGCTTCTCTCTCTCTCTCTCTCCTCCTACCTTCTCAGTCTAAGTCTACTTCTACTTCTCCTACAGGACTACTGCAGTATGGGAGATGGTTACGAGTCCTGATGACATCTGAGACATCGACATTGGGACTACGAGTTGAGGACTATTTGGGGTTCTGATTTCATCTTCCTTCCGGAGAGGTACTTGACATTGTGAGATCGATATCTGAGACATTGTGAGACTTGGTATTCGCGACATTTCGGATTTTCGTCATTTCTGACATTTCAAGATACTATCTTTGGARACATTGAGTTGACGTCATCTTCCCCTCTCCTCCTCCTTTCGTCTCTCCCCCTCTCTCCCTTCATCTGTGGATGATCTCAGTCCCTGGCCTTTCGTCTATGTCTGAGGCCAGGGCATTCACACCCCTGATGAATGTTTGAGAGTGTTCGATTGCAATCCGAGTCAGGTCTGAGTCAGTCCAAGGTATCTCAAGTCTTCCGCTTGCATTTGTATTAACTCTGTATTATCTGGTCGGTTCTGGGAATCTGCGCCATAC